CCTCCTGAGTCCAAAACTGCAATTATATCTCAAATCGGTCAAGTTTGTACTTCATAAAAAAAAACTCAGAGCCCTTCTATGAGCCGCTATGCCACGGCTAAAAAACTCGGAGTCATTCTATGAACCACCATGCAGGGCTAAAAATATTTAAAAAATTGACTAGATGATAGTCATTGTACGACACTGTCTCCTTAAAAAATAATAAAATTGCATAACGGCACTAAAAGCTAGTCTTACAAAGTGTGATTAAACGATTAGCCATCGTCAAAAAAGATATTTTCTAATTTACCTCATTGTGGTAGATGGCTCATAAAATATTTAATGGCGGGAAAGTTTTGTTCATAACATTTCATTTCCTGTCACACTAGATAGCGAAGAGCAAAGACATAGTGTAACACAAGAAAGCTTAAGGATTGAGTGACCCATCTATTGTTAGAAAGTTTGTATTCTGTTTCTACACGAACTATGCGTAAAATATTCTTGAAAGTGTACAGTCCAAAAAGTAGAGCTTACAAATGTTTAAAAAGAAGGAGCTTTATTTTGTTTCATAGCTACTGTTTTTCTTTCTATTTGAATACACTGTGTAAAACAATGAAGTATTATAGTATAACTTTAAAAGTAGAATCTATAATACTTGTTATAAAGTAAAGAGATCCATCAAACTTGAATCGTAGTTTTCTTCAATAAATTAAACTATCGAATTTCATTTTCGTGACATCGTTAATCGTCTTTGTGGTTATTACGTAAAAGGATTCGTTGAATTCTATAAGTTAAAACAATTAGCCTCTTTGATAATGGCAATAAAAGTACGATCTATCGAACACTATATTTCGTGACCATCTTAATGATATTATCAAGTAAGACGGTATATCGAATTATTATGTTTCAGGACGATATTATCTTCCTTATTAATTATCTTAGAGGATCTTTCACCAAAATCAATATATTGAAATGCTGTTAGCTCCCTTATTCGTTATGTAAAAGAACCTATGGAAGCACATAATCTATGTTTCCTGACGTCAAAAGCTCCATAATTATCGAATACGAGGGTCTACATGATTATATATATATTTTCAACAAATAACATATTTAATATTTAAGCATAAGATTATTTGGATTGTTTATTTTGTGACAGAAATTATACGTTTGTACTCATATGATATAAGAAGTTATTTTCGTGGCAAACTAGCGTCTTGTTCTATAGTTTTAAAATTCTGTATTTTATGGAACGAGCGACTAGAAAGCTTTATTTTCACAAGAGCACTAGTTCTAATTACCAAAAGACAGACAGGCTCTCGCAGTTCTAAAATGCCCCACAGTGTATCGCTGCTAGTCATGAAAATTTCTAGTTTACTTGAGGCATGAAAATAGTTTAGTTTATTTTGTTTTACAGCTTGCCTTCTTTTGTTGATTGACTGTCTAATGTCTTGACTTTCATCGATACTAGTGCAAAGATATTGATTACGTTGATTGACTTCTAGTTACAGATATTCAAATTAACCTAATTAATAAAAATCTTTAAAAAAAATCAATATTAATATTCTTAATCACTTTATAAAACGAAATTAATTAATAGTTTTTTGAATATATACATTACTAATTGTACTGATACTGTTCTAAAATTTAATTATGATAAGTTACACTTCGTGTGCACGTACTCCTTATGAAATATAAATTATAAGTGCTTAAGAAATTTAAATGATGTATGAAATAATATAAGCAACCAAACTCTCAACAAAATATCGAAAAAAAAATCAGATTCTTAGGTTTACCAATCCTCCAATCATAGCTTTAAATATATTGAGGGGATCCACCTTTGTTCTACTTTGATAGATTTTTATTGACTGAAAAGATGGATCATAGAATCGTAAAGGCTTAAGATGAATAACTGGGTTATTTTCTGGATTAAAAACAATTGCCTGTATCTACGCATCTGTTTACATTCACGATGTAAAGATTTATATTTCTGTTATACTGCCAAATTGGGGCTCATACTGTGAATATTTATGTCGTCAGTTTGAGCGCATTTACATTATTGATTCGCCAGTTCTTCTGAATCATGATAAAGGTAATTCAAACAAAATAACAGTAATAATAAAATAATAATAATTAGTTTTAAAAACAAAATAAATAAACAGTATTAAGTTAATTATACTAACCATAAAAATCTGACTTGTAAATGATATAAATAAACTTGGAAACAATTACAATTATATTTACTTAATCCAGTTTTCACCTTAACAGTCGTGGTTCATGAAAAGTGATTATATAAATAGCAACTAGATCACTATTACATCTGTTGTATCCCAGCCAGTCTAATGAGCCCTGGTATTAAATGAAAGGCCTCGTCGGCACTGGATATGGCAGATGTGATATGGTTGAATTATGATAACATATATATTTTTTTGCTTTCAATCATAAGTATTTAAAAATCTTTAGACACCACTATAAATCTGATCCGAACACTTAGATCAAGCAAAACTAACTTAGCATTAAAATAATCGAATCTCTTGAGTTTCTCATCACAAAGCAACACACGCATTTGTTAATATTACATCACAAAGCAACACACGCATTTGTTAATATTACATCACAAAGCAACACACGCATTTGTTAATATTACTTTTATAAAGCACAGGCAATCATAGGGGGGGGGTCATCTCTTTGATTATATCTGGTGATACCCTCCATAAAATTGAAAATAAAAACTATTATTCTCGATCGATTTACCAAGAAACAATTTTCTGAACATATACTGGAGAGTTCACATCCACTAATCTGCATGATTATATCTTAAAACATAAATTACAATGAAGTAGTTCAAGTTTTAGAAAACAGGCAGGGATTAAAAATTAATAAATTTCTTTTCCATACTTTATTTTGATATTAACTAGGAAACATTTGACAGGGATTTATCTTTTTTTAATTTAATCAAATCATAGCAACCAAATAAAGATGCTTTATGTATTTATTGTATTTTCAATTATTTGCGTTATTTACCAAACGAATTTATCCAATTTTTAATACATATCAATCAGTCTGAAACGTAAAAACACCTTTTAAGGCGAAAAGGTGAAACAAATAAATTCTTGAAAATCACATTAATCATTGTACTGGTATGTTTCAGGTTGTGGAAGACTGGAAGTATGTTGCTATGGTCCTTGACCGCCTCTTTCTTTGGATCTTTACAATTGCCTGTGCAGTAGGAACCTGCGGTATAATTTTCCAAGCTCCTTCTCTCTACGACGACACAATTCCTATTGATAATATGTCGAAAATTGGGAGAGAATTATAATTTTCCAAAATCTGTTAGGTTTTTTGTATTGTCTTCTGACCGGTGTCCATTCCAGCAATGATTTTCAGCCCTGTATGGCAGCTACTGGGATGCTATCGTTTTGTAAGTATAGCTTAATAATCACATTTGAAACTGAACACTTTTTCAATCTACTAGAAGCTTTGTAACCCCTTCAATTCCTTTTCGTTTGTTTTGTTCTTTAATTTCTGGAATTGTAAACGAAAACGTTTCCAATAACCTTTAAGAGCTATAATAATATTACTAACTTTTTGCGATACTAACCAGTACAAGAATGCTTGTACATTTTCTCTATAATTCTCTCCCAGTCAATGTTAGTTTTAAAGACTCTTTTTTCAGGATAGCATGTGTCATCTGGTTAAGGGATTTTGTGATGCAAAGCTGTTACTCTTCTGACTTAACTCAAGGTAATTTCTCAGAAATAAAAATGAGACGATCAAATAAAAATGAATTAGATGACAAAGAACAAAACCTGTTCAATTTTTAATGCTCAAGAAATTCCGAAAAGAATAAAAGAAATGTTTTAAAATCCAGTGTACTATTGGTGATATTTGTTTTTTTCTGAAACACTTTCGATGAGCACTAACCTCACCATCTTATTCCTTGCTAAGGCTTAGCATTGTAGAAATGTTATTATATATATATATATATATATATACATGTATATATATATGTTGGTTGGAGTTAACGAGGAAAAAATCCCTCTAACTATTGTAAGTGAGAGTTTAAAAAGAGAAGCGAGAGAATGCAACGATAAAATCACCCTTGTAAACAACAAACATCTTTATTTTACATAGTGCCTATAGTTAATATAGGTACGACCATTAACTCCAGGATATGTTATTTAACTACTCCATTCTTAGTCTGAATCTTTAGTAGTAGCATATCTGTAGCACAAATATTCCTAAAGAAGCTGTAAAATGAAATATTAATTAATTAATAAAATAGATAAGCAGAAGATAGAGACAGAGTATGTATTTACTGTAAAAAATAACTATTTAAATATTGTAATTCTATAAGTATTGTAACGCCTACGAAAGACGGATTGATTACACAGGCCTGCGACAGTTTTATTATCTTGAAATTTTTACTTGTTTTACAGTAATTTCTGTACGTTGAATTCCAAAATGATATCCATTCTTCTCCACCACCTACAGATTTTTCACAAAACGTCGTATGTACTTTTATATAAGTGAATAATTTTCATTGAAATCGGGGTCATAATTTGTTATGCTTAGAATGTTGACCTCCACTGGCTATAGATTTCTCTAGACTAATCGCGACGTGAGAGTCTTATCGTTCGCTCTAGAAACTACGATAAACACACCACTAGTATATAAACGGTTAACAGGCCACATGACGTGTCAGTTGTGGACAGTATTTGTTTGCGCATGCACTTTGACATTATTTTTTCTTTTCAATATTATTTATTCATCGCCATGGCAACAAGAGGTTGTGTAAATGACCCAAACATATTCTGTTATATTTGTGGTAAATTTGTTGTAAGGAAACAAAGTCAAAACATTAGAGAATTCGTCAAAAAAGCATATTAAACCTGTCATGGTGTATCAAGACAAATCATGGGCCCCGCACAAAATTTGCACCATTTGTGTCGAAGGGTTGAGACAATGGACTAAAGGTAAGTCTTTGCCTTTTGGAATTCCAATGGTCTGACGTGAGCCTAGAAACCACTGAAATAACTGTTATTTTTGCTCATATAACGTGCAAGGCTACAACACTCGAAATAAAAAGGAAAATTCTTATCCGAACCTTCAATCTGCCATAAGATCTGTTGCTCATGGACCTGATGTACCTGTACCTACTCCACCGGAGAATCTTGATACAGTTTCATCTGATTTCGAATCTGATGTCAGTATAAATGATGATAGGGGTAGTTTTTAACCTGAAACATCTGGTGAACCACAATTTTTCCTACAAGGTGAACTTAATGATTTGGTGAGAGATTTAGGCCTTCCAAAGGATTCTTCAGAGGTTTGGGGTCCAAACTTCGGGCTAAGAATTTACTTTCTCCAGGGACGTTGTTTTACTGGTAC